TTAGAGAAGTTTTAATTAAATTAATTATAACTTATTTGTATTCTCAAGCAATTAAATATAAAACTAAAAAAGATTTACAAAAAAAATATCATTTGTTACATACTCCTTTGCATTCATTGATGCAGACATTGACAGTTCCCACAAACTTAACGTAATTAGATTCGGGAAACTTAAATGCTCTGAACTTTGCCGACAGAGAGTCCCCGCCGTCCAGTGTCTCAAAGTTGCCAAATATGTACGGGTCTATTGAACACCTGTTTGTTTGTAATGGATTAATCAAAATGTGTACCAAATGACACTCAATCGCTATAATGCAAACCCATTCAAAATAATCACTTCTTCCTGAGTATTATTATTGGCATTGACCGCGGTCACTTTCAGAAAACTGACTAAAAGTCCGTAAACATGTCGAGACTCTTCGTCCAAATAGACGATCATCTCTAATGGAGTTCCCGGCTGTACATTGAGAGCTGTGTCCACAAACTGTCCATTCCGTCTGATTTTGATGTTAAGGTCGGGATAGGGAGCGCGGGCTGTGATGTTGCCGTCAATGAAGTCTATTTCCTCTGTTTTAAAAATAATTCATACAATAAAACCTCAATTGTGTTTCGTTCCCACACTTCCCAACAACAATCAAATCTATACTTCAAGGACTGGTTATCCCTTCCCTGATATTATTCGGCATTCGTTTCAAGTCATGCATTGAATTCAAATAAACATTTACTCTATTATTACAATAAAATAAAAACTTTTGATTTATTGTTCAGTTTGATAGCAAAGGAAAGGATTCACGACAGGCTTCCTTATGTCTAACATACTATTATATTAAATAAATTAGAAATTCTTTTGCATTGTTTTTCAAATGACAATAATGATGTTAATATTTTTTAATAGCTAGGCAATTTAAAGGCTATCGTCTTATAATTATAATAGATTTAAAAATATTTTAAAAATTCTTACCAGCATTTAATGTTAAAATTGTTGGATTAAGTGCTTGACAACTTATAAGAGATACATAATATATGAAGCAAATTACGATTTGTGTTAACATTTCAATGAGTTCTTCAGTTGAAAAAGTTGTTGAGAAAATGGTATAATTTTGGACCAAATTGTGGTGAAAATGTCTAGATATGTGACAATTGGTATGTATTTCACATTATTATCACTTACAAGTCATTTGCGTTTCTCTTTAATGCTTTTTTTGGTCAATTCATCAAAAGAGCACTTCATATAAGAGTACTGATCCCACGCTTTCATTGAACTAATTTATGGCAAGACTTGTAATACATTTAAGGTTTTACTCTAAAACACCCAAACAGTTGGAAGGACTCCATATGATTGGGCTCTCGAAGGCAAACCATCGACTGATCACTCAATGGATAAATGAATGGATGGCCACTCCTTTGCCGCCAAACACTCCTATTTGCACACAATATGTCTTAACTTAACTTAACTTTATATTTAATTTGATCATTTCTTATGGCATATAATTTTCTTGCTAATTATCTATTAATAATTGTTCTTAATTTGAATATACAGTAGAAAGTAATGAATTGAATTGAATGTCACATAAAGTGTCTGTCTTCAGTCGATGTCTTTCCTAAAAAATAAATATATTTTTGTAATTCAAAAATATTTTTAATTAATATTTCGCAAGAATTAATAAATTCAAAGTTTAGCAAATAAAAAAAATTAAATATAGTTATTTACCGTATGTTAATGTTAAATAGTACAATATTTCTTATTAATAATACTTCAAAAGTGAAAATAAATACGAAAAATGCCTATAAGTCTAATATAGCAATTTTTAACGGCATTGTAGTAAACCTTCATTAAACGCAAATCAATTGTCTAATTTATAAAGAGTAAGGATTTTACTATTGAATACAAAGATAATTTGTGAAGTTAAGTTATTAGCAAAATGTTAGACTTAAAGTTAATTGAATTCTTAGCAAAGTTTATAATTGCATTCCAATAGTAATAGTTTTCACATAAATTTGTAATATAGTGTTAATCGCAATGCATTTTTATTAATAGTTAGAAGTTTAACCTGTACTTTATATAGATAAAATAAATAATATATTCATAAGATTTGCATAATTCCTTATTTGCAATAAAATATATAGATGCTAAATATTGTGAAAATGTTATATTGAGGTTAAGTTTATTAAAACTCTAAAAATTTCATTACATTTACCTTTTGATGTAATATTTTGATCATATATTGGTT